TTTCCTATTTTGCATGGATTTCTCTCTACCCGTGTACGATTCCAGATTTTTCTAAATTCAAAATGTTTTTTTTTTCTTCTCCGTAATCATTTTCCACGTGTTCTCCATCGTCTCGTGCCGTTTCGGCTTCGCGACTCCCAGCGATCGAAAGCCTAATTAACAATAAATGGAATTTATATACCAAAAGAATTACTACCGTTTATTAATTATAACATACAGAAACGGCGGACGGAGCTAGGAAACCACCGAACTCCATATAACTGGAGCTTGAAACACAGAGAAATCCAGAACCAATGGAACAGAGACCTTCAGTCCGAAAGCCAAAGACAGCACACCAATGGAAATGAACGGAACCTTAATAAAGTCTATTGAATAGGTTAAAAATCTTATTGTTGCAAAAATAGTAAAAACTCTAAAAAGTCTAAATTTTATATTAGTTAATTATAATTAAAAAAAGTTTTAAAATTTTAATTTTTGATATTACTTAAAATCAATTTAGATTTTTTTTTACAGTATATTTGAATTAAGAAAAATGAATCCATTCCTTTTCTCTCATTTGATAAGTAAATAGATTAAAAACTAATATAAAATAAAAAACTTTAAGAAATTAAAAAAAAATATATATATATAACATAAATAAATTGAAAAAAGTGTTATATAATTAGGGTGCCTAATGTAAACCAATAACTCGAACAGGCCTCCTAGATGCAAGGAGACCCTCTTAATGTGATATACTTTGTATTTTATAATGCAAAGTAATTAAAATTACAAAATATTATACTGTAAATAAATATATTAATAAAATAATTATAAAGAACATCATTTCACTTATATATATATATATGAAACACATTACATCTACTTGTTATATTCCTTTACAAACATTTCTATGATCTTACTAATTTTCAAACCACATCTGCTTATGAAATCTAAGTTAAAAAAGGAAAAAGTTTTCAAGACCTTGTTTTTTTAGTAACTCCAACGTTGAACCTATTGGAGAAAACAAAATTAGAAAAATTAATTAACATATTTCCGCTTCTTTTCCCCTTTGTCTTTTGGAATTAATAATATGTTTTTCCTTTCCCAAAAGGGCCAAAACACACTTTATCTGCTCTATATGATACTAGTAAAAATTAGTACTCGTAATTACCCCTTGGTTAATTTAGTGGTTTTCACGGTTAATCATTTCCTTGGTACTGATTAAGCGATTCCAACCTCATCTCCTCGTTGAACTTCTTTATAAATGCCTCAACTCGTCGATTCTACTCGTCCTGACTCAGCAACGGTTCCTTTCTCAGCTTCAATACTGAAGCCGGGGACGAGCTCACTTGCACCGGTGACATCTGGAAATTGGTCTGGTACTTGGACGTTTCCGATTTCTTCACCACCGGCGACGGCTCAGCGAGCGAATCCACGTTCACCTAATTCTCCCATGTGTCCTCGAACGTCTCTGATTTCTTCAGGTGCCTCGATAACGGCATTTCCTTCTTGGCCGTAATCATTTTCCACGTGCTCTCCATCGTCCTGTGCCGTTTCGGCTTCTCGACTCTCAGCGATCGACCACCTAGTTAACAACAAATAAAATATTAACGAAATTAACATTTTGTCAATCTTGATTCTGAAATTTAAACATGCAGGGGAAGTAGGGGTGGCAATTTCCCCCGATCCCCGCGGGGCGGGGATGGGGGAGATTTTCTCCCCGTGAAATTTCGCGGGGAATTTTTCCCGTCCCGCGGGGCCCCGCGGGATCCCCGTCCCCGCGAAAAATTAAAAAAAATATATTTTTAATTTAATTTAATATTTAAAATAAAACCTAAACCCAACCCAAACCCAATT